CCTCCCCCCTCCCCCACCTCCATCTCCATGCCCTTCCCTGCAGAAGAAACCCACAGCCTGGCTTAAATGAGATTACCAAAAACTTCAAATAATTCTCACAACGGCTCTTCAAGCAATAGAAATAAGGAAACGAAAGAGACAAAAGTAACGAACCACTGCTTGCTGGGGCGATTCAACAGCAGTTGCAGGAGCAGATTGCGAAGAAGCAGTGACTTCCAGTGCAGCGAATAAATCACCAGCAGCACTGAATTCATCCGCATCCTTTTTCTTCAAACTTTCGATTACCTGAACAGAAAAGCATGGTTCAGTATCACGATAGCTGTTAAATCATGATAATTGTTAAATCTTAACAATTATTATAACGATTTTTTTCAGAAGTTAACTTAGGACTTATCGGGACTAACTCAGTTCATCCGTCCAAAACTCTAGCAATAAGCTTTTTATGATGATTTGAACTACCGTCATCATCTAAGCCAAACCCCCTCTCCGCCCTCCTCCCCCCCTCTTCTTACCCACCGGTCCCCTCCTTCCCCCATACTTCGGCACAGCTATAAAATAGCCAACTGCTAAGTTAAAAACCGGTAAATTAGCCTCGAAATAATAATTCCAATCATAAAAATACGTCCCAAAAAGGCAGCTTTAAAACTTAAATTTTGAAAGACTCTCTAAAGTCCAAGCTCGATCCTGCGAATTAGGTAGTCAGTTTCACCCAGGCAAGCCGGCTAATGATTTTAAGAAAGATATATCGGGAAAAACATTGCACACTGCAACAGAACGGTTGAAAGACTAAGTTAAAGGAATCGGTGGCTTGAGGATGTTCGTATGTAACCCCAAGCATCGTCCGAAATCAGAAAAACCAAAAAATACAAAAATCTTTCTAAGTCTCATACAAAAATCAAATAAATGAAAGTTTTAAAAAAAAACACAATATAAAGATTTAATAATCCAAATCTCAGAAGATGAAATAAACGTCAGAAAATGGAAGCAAATGCTAGCAGCAACTACCGCAGACAAAGCTAATTCGACGGTTAACTCTTTTTTAAGGATTACTCATAATAAGCTCACGGCGGGTTAATTTCTTA